AGGCCCACTTGACTTCACATTCCAGGATGTCTGGCTCTAGGTGAGTGATCACACCATCGTGATTATCTGGGTCATGAAGATTTTTTTGTACAATTCTTCTGTGAATTCTTCAGAGGTGAATCGGGTACACTTTTTAAATGACCAGTCCTGAGATTCTCTGAGAGTCATTACCTTGCAGCCCCAGCCCAGGTCATGGGTAACTGTACTCGAGCATAGATTTGGAATGCTGTTCACTTCCTCTGGGCACTGACGTGCACATTACTTATAAGGAAATATGGTGTGCTCAGTCACTTAGTTGTGTTTGACTCTTTGTAACCCCACGGACTGTAGCCCGCCCGGCTCCTCTGTCCGTGGGATTGCCAGGGCAAGAATATCGGAGTGGGTTGCCATTCCCTTTTCCAGGGAATCATGTCGACCCAGGGATCAAACCTGGACTAGTGAGAATCAACTGTATAGCACAGGGAACTCTACTCAATGTTCTGTGGTGACCGAGATGGAAGGAAATCCCTCAGAAAAGGGGATGCATTTATATATATAGCTGATTCACTTTGCTGTAGAGTAGAAATGAATGCAACACTAATGCACGCACACACAAAGTGTTAGTCGCTCAGTTGTGTCTGACTCTCTATGACCCCATGGACTGTAGCCCACCAGGCTCCTCTGTCCATGGGATTCTCCAGGCAAGAGTACTGGAGTGGGTAGACATTTGCTTCTTCAGGGGATCTTCCCGACCCAGAATCAAACCTGCATCTCCTGCGTTGCTTACCACTGAGTCACCTGGGAAGCCCAGTGAAAAGATATGCTCAGACAATATACCATAAAAAAGTTTTGTGATCATTAGTTATCCAAGAAATGCAAATTTAAAACATGAGGATTATCATTGCATATCCGTTTGTTGTTGTTCAGTCGCCCAGTCCTGTCCGACATTTTGCAATCCCATGGACTGCAGCATGCCAGGCTTCCGTGTCCCTCACCATCTCCCAGAGTTTGCCCAAGTTCATGTTTGATGAACTCATCAAACATATTCATGTTTGAGTTCATGTTTGATGAGTTCATTGGTGATGCTGTCTAGCCATCTCATCCTCTGACGCCCTCTTCTCCTTCTGCCCTCAATCTTTCCCAGCATCAGGGACTTTTCCAATGAATTGTCTGTTCACATCAGATAACCAAAATACTGGAGCTTCAGCTTCATCATCAGTCCTTCCAGTGACTATTCAGGATTTATCTCCCTTAAGATTGACTGGTTTGATCTCCTTGCTGTCCAAGGGAATTTCAGGAGTCTTCTCCAGCACCACAGTTCAAAGTCATCAGTTCTTTGGCTTCCAGCTCTCACAACTGTACGTGGCCACTGGGAAAACCATAGCCTTGACTGTATGTCTCTGCTTTTCAACACACTGTCTAGGTGTGTCATCTGCTGTTAATAAAGCTGTTAATAATGCTAATGGATGTGATGAAATTCCAGAACTATTCAAATCCCTAAAGGATTATTGTATCAAGGTTTTGCATTCATTATGTCAGCCATCTGTCTTCCATCTGGAAGACCCAGAAGTGGCCACAAGACTGGAAAAGGTCTATCCTCGTCCCAATTCTCAAGAAGGGTAGTACCAAAGAATGTGTTAACCATCAGATAGTTGTACTCATCTCCCACGCTAATAAGGTCATGCTTAAAATCTTGCATGCTAGGCTTCAGCATTATACGAACCAAGAACTTCCAGATGTCCAAGCTGGGTTTAGAAATGGAAGAAAAACTAGAGATCAAGTTACCAACAATCACTGGATTTTAGAGAAAGCGAGGGAATTTAAGAGAAACATCTATCTCTGTTTCATTGACTACGCTAAAGCCTTTGACTGTGTAGATCATGACACACTGGAAAGCTCTCAGAGAGATGGGAATACCAGACCATCCTACCGGTCTCCCAAGAAACCTGCATGTGGGTCAAGAAGCAACAGTTAGAACCCTATATGGAACAACTGTCTGGTTCAAAATTGAGAAAGGTTCAAAATTGGTTCAAAATTGTAACAGGGCTGTCTACTGTCACCCTGTTTGTTTAACCTATATGCTGAGCACATCATGAGAAATGCCAGGCTGGATGAGTTACAAGCTGGAATCAAGATAGGCAAGAGAAACATCAACGACCTCAGCTATGCATATGATACTACTCCAATGGCAGAAAGTGAAGAGAAACCAAAGAGCCTCTTGATGAGTGTGAAGGAGGAGAGTGAAAGGGCCAGTTTAAGACTAAATATTAAAGAAATTAAGATCATGGCATCCAGCCCCATTACTGCATGGCACATAGAAGGGGAAAAGGTGGAAGTGGTGACACATGTCCTCTTCTTGGGCTCTAAAATCATTGCAGACGGTGAATGCAGCCATGAAATCAGAAGACTATTGCTTCTTGGCAGGAAAGTGATGACATATCCATTAGGATGACTAAAATGAAAAGGACTGCGAAGATGGCTTGTTGGCTGGAACAACTAGGATTCCCCTGCACTGCTAGTGGGAATGTAAAGTTGCAGAGCCACTTTGGAAACTTGTTTGGCAGTTTTTTAAAAAGTTAAAAATACATCTTCCATATGACCCAGTCATTTCACTCCTACATGTTTACTCAAGAGAAATAAAGACTCCTCTAAGATTTTTACATGAATTTTCTTAGCAGCTTCACTTGTTGTGGCTCCAAACTGGAAGAAATGAAAATGTTCATCAAGTGAATGCATAAATGAAATGTAATATATGCATTGCATAGAATGGAATTCTGGTCAGCAATAAAAAGAAACAGCTACTAATACATGGTACAGTATGGATGGATGGATGAATCTCATGACAATATGCTGACTGAAAAAGCAAGACAGGACATACACTGTATAACACCATTTATGTAAAATGCAAACTAATCCATACTAACAAAGAGCTGGTTGGTGGTTGTCCAGAGATGGGAGGAGGAGGAGGAGATGGACTGCAAAAAGGATGAGGCATTCTTTAGAAAGCATTCTGTAGGTTGATTGTGGTGATATTCTCATGGGTATATAGAGTTGTCAAAACTCTTTAAATGGTGCACTTTGAATAACTCAATCTGTTGGGAGTAAATTAATCCTCAGTAACGTTGATAAAGAAAAAAAGAAACTGTTTAAAGCAAAAATAGCAATGAAGTTTGTAACATATATAGAACATATTTTGTCTCAGCAGTGACATAACAGATGGGAGAATGAAAAGGAATTATATATTGTATTATTACATTATCCTTGAAGGGATATAACACTATTTGAGGGAAAACTGTCATAAGTTAAAGTAGAATGTTTTAGGCTATAGAAAAATTGCTGAAAAAATGAGTAACAGTTTAAAATCTAACACTGAAATAGATGATTCAGTTAATCAAAAGAAGACTGGAGCAGAGGGAAAAGAACATATGGGATAAACAGGGAAGAACTTGTGAGGTAGCAGTTTTAAATTGTCAGGTTAATAGTTACATTGAGTTAAATGATTTAAACACTCCTATTTTCAGATCGTCAGACATGATAAGTTAAGACTGAACTATATGCTTTCTACAAGAAACTCACTTAAAATTAAAGACAAATAGGTTAAAAGTATGAGAATAAAAATTTACACCTGCAAACATTAACCATAAAAGAGCTGGAGTGGATTTACTAATATTGGATCAAGTAGACCTCAGAAAAAGGAACATTACCAGAGGTAAAGAAGATTGCTTCATGATGATTAAGGAGTCTACTCATCAAGAAGATGTAACAATCTAAATGTGTATGGATTCCACAAAATGGCATCAGAATACATGAGGCAAAAGTGGAAAGCACTGAAAGGAAAAATGAACAAATCCTAAAGTATAGTTGTAGACATCAGTCCTTCTCTCTGGGTAATTGATGAAATAGAAGACCAGTGATGCTATAAATCATATGAAGAGCATTATTAACAAACTTAATGACATTTGTTAATCTATTGGACATGAGCAGAATACCCACTCAAGTGCACATAGAACATGTATCAAGACAGACCCTGTAGATTTAGAATGACTGATACAATACAAAGAATGATCTCTGGTAAGAATGAAATTAAGCTAAAATTAATAACAGAAAAATATCTGGAATAATCCTTACATACAAGGAAACCAAATAACATACATTGTTATAGATAGATCATATAGATTATAACATATATCAAAGTAGAAATCACAGGGAAATTAGAAAATATTTTGAATGGAGATGAAACACAGCATATCAAAATTTGTGGTATGCAACTAAAATAGTACTCAGAGGAAAATGTATTCCTTTAGATGCTTACAACAGAAAAGAAAGGTCTGAAACCACTGGAATAAATTTCTATTTTAAGAAACTATAAAAAGGTGAACAAGTGAAACCCAAAGTAAGCACAAAGAATAATAAAAATGAAATAAGAAATGGTCAAACAATAGAGAACAAACAAGCCAAGAACTATTTTTATTTCAATAAATAAATAAAATTGAAAGACCTTTAAATCACCCCACCCTCGCCTGCTCCCACTGAGTCCAAAAGTCTGTTCTTTATGTCTCCTTTGCTGCCCTGCATGTAGGGTCATTGGTACCATCTTTCTAGAATGATGCAGAAAAAAGACACAAGTTACCAGTATCTAGAATAAAAGAGAGGACTTTACTATAGATCCCATAGACATTGAAAGGATGAAATTAAATATTATTATTGTTCATGTGATGTTAATGTAATGCCAATACATTTGACAGCATATATGAAATAGACAAATTTCTTGAAGATGCATAGTACCAAAAGTGACACAAAAAGAAGTAGAAAACCTGAAGAGCTTTGACATCACTTGTGAAGTTAAATACTTAAGAAAAGGAGACATACTTATTTTACACAAATTCTTTCAGAAAAGGGAAAACTAATTTTAGGAGCATCCCAACACCAAAACACAAAGAAATTGTGAGACCCACACCCCTGATGAGCACATGTACTGGGGACACCACTGCGCCCGTCACCGGTCTCCACTTGTCTTGCAGGTATGCCGGCACCCTTCTGGATGAGGACATCTTCCGTGGGAAGGAGCTCGTCAGCAGTCGCCCGCTGCAGGCGCTGGTGGCAGGGCTGAAGGCCTACAGCACCTGGGAGAACGTCAGCTGCCTGCAGGACTGTCGCGAATGCACCGGAGGCATGGTGAGCACCCTCTGACCCCTCGGGCCACGGTCCGGCAGAGTCTCCATGGTTACAGGTTACAGGTTACATGCAGCATGTGTTGGGGGAGGACCGTGTGGCCAGTGGGCTTTGGAACCAGGTGAAATTCCCATCTGCCCTTGTGACTCTGGGTGCACCCCTTGCCTTGCCATTTGTGCATGTCCGTCTTCTCTGATGCCACCAGACAGATGCAGACCATGCCTGTAAAATGCTGGGTCTGTGGAGGCCCTCAGTACCTGTCATGGAACTCGGTGGTGGTGGCTTGTGGACAGCATAGGAAAGGGCCAACAGGGGCCAGATGATCTAAGCTCAGCTCCAGCGTTTCAGTCCCCTGGGGAGAATGCAGGAAATGACCCCACGGGTTTCTGCCCTGGGAATGAGGCAGATGGGGACAGGCCCAGTGCTTAGGGCATGTTGAGAGTGTCCCCAGCCCTGGCCTCAGACTGGACTGTGCAGTGAGGTATGAGAAACCCTAACGTGACTCTTCGGAGAGTCGAGAGGACTCTGAGAACAGCTGGATCCATGGCCTCTCCCTGTAGGACCCTGAGAGTGGAGGCACCTGCAGGAGCCCAGAGCTGGTGAGAAAGGGGACCCGAGTGGGGTCTCGGAGGGCAGGACGGGGGTGGATGTGCTGTTTTGAACCTGTGACTTGGTAGCATGGCATGGCTGTGGACATCAGCTCTGGTGGCATCTGAGTTCAGCCCCAGATGACAGTCCTGTGCGGGCGATGCCTGTGGACCACCCTGCCTCATCGTCATGTGGGCCAGAAGCAGGGGCTGCAGGAGGATGGGGGGAGGAGGGAGCCCCGCTTGGGCCTTGAGCTTCAATTCCATCTAGAACTTGGCTGAATATTTGCCTAAAAAGAGCATCTCTGAACCTGAAGGGGCCGTTGAAGCATTCTAGCTGCAGTGAGAAGAGGTCAAGAGGAGATCAAGGGCTGCTGCAGAAAGTAAAGGGGGAGGTTGAGTTTCTGGAGAGCCCAGAGCATCGGTGCCGGGTCCTTGGAGGGGCAAGGAGGGACTGGGCCCTCAGGCACAGCCTGAGGTTTGTCCCATGTAGACTCTGTGGATGGGCGTGAGAGCTGGCCTGGTCACCTCCCTGCAGTGACTGAGTAAAGATGGGCGAGTGGTGAATCCTTGGTTAATCAGGCTTGCACCTGTATCTGCGATGGTGGTGGTGGAGGACATGCTTTTCCAGGGGGGACGGTGTCAGGCTCCATCAGAAAAGAAGGAGGAGGAGAATAAAGTGACAGCTGGAGCCGGGGTGCAGCGGGGTCAGGAGTCAGGGTCCTCTGAGTCAGCCGGGGGCGATGGCTTGTAGTGGCCTGATGTGTCGTGAGACCCCTGCTTCCAGTGGTTCCCGCCCTTCCAGTGGTCCTGCCTGGTCATCCCTCCTTCACTGGCCAGCATCACCCGCTGTGCAGAAATGACCCCGCCACCCACCATACTATGGAAAAGAAGCTGACCCTGGAAGACCGCTCTTCAGGGCTGGGAAGATGCCAGATGCCAGCTCTGTAATCCTGGGCACTGCTGCCTCAAGCGGCTTTGCTTCCCAGCAGCTCCTCGGAAACAGGAGGGGACCCTGTTTTCTAGTTTTGTTCCTCCCCACCCCCATATCCAACCAACACCTTGCCCAGGACTATTTGTAGAGACATTAATATTTGTTGAAGGGGCTTCCCAGGTGGCACTAGTGGTAAAGAACCTGCCTACCAATGCAGGAGATGTAAGAGATGTGTGTTCGATCCCTGGATCGAGAATATCCCCTAGAGGAGGAAATGGCAACCCACTCCAGTGTTCTTGCCTGGAGAACCCCATGGACAGAGGAACCTTGCGGGCTACAGTCCACAGGGTCGAAAAGAGTCGGACACGACTGAAGCCACTTAACACATGCGCAAATGTTTGTTGAAAGGAAAGCATGAGCATCTTCTAACTGTTTTAAGCTGCATTTTCAGACACTACATCTTCTGCAGGCAGGAAGTCTCCAGGAGTGAAGTGTGGCTGAGTCTGGGGGCTGCTGGGATGGTAATGAAAAGCACTTCTTCTGTGGCCCATAGGTCTAAGGAGGTCTTGCATGCGAAACAAAACAAAACATAATTCAATTCACATTTACTGACTTTGAAGCCAGTAACACTATGGGAAAGTTATTGCCTTCTCTTTGACTCATTTTTCACATACATAAAGTGAGGCTAAGCTTTCCTTTGTAACAATTGTGAGAGTTAAGTTGAGCAAGAAGATTAGCATAAAAATTTATAATGGTGAAGGAAGACTGAAGATCCCGTGCACTGCAGCTAAGACTCGGCACAGCCAATTAATTAATTAAAAATATATAATTGTTTAAACAAAAATCATAACAACGTGATGTGAGGTTTATAACCGAGGGAAGTGAGATGGGTTGTGCTCCCATGACCCCAAACCTCCTTAGCAAGTCGAGAAGGGGCTGGACCAGGAGCTGGGGAGGCACCGTCCATTCCTGGTACAGCCTTGATGTTCCAGAGGGTTGGGGCTTCATGCTCACACGTGCTCTGCATTGTGTAAGCTGAGCATCCACCGGCCTGGTTTGGAAGTGATGCAAACCCTTTCCCTGCCCACATGTGAACTCAGAGAACAGACTCCACCCCTCGGAGTAGTCATGTGAGTCAGTTCTTTCGCTTCCTTAGCTCCCCACCTTCCTTTTCCAAGGATTGACAGGTAAACCAAGTCTTCAGACTGTTGCTGTTTCACTGGACTTGCATTGGCCTCTTTTCTCTGTATCCAAGCAAACCCAGATTGAATTTCCTACTACCAGCTGAGTGAGGAGTGGGAAACAGAGCCCTGGATTTCCTTGTACCCCTTGCGGGGCCGCCTGGTGGGGCGGGAACTCTGGGAGGTGGGAGGGGCAGCTCCTCAAGGAAGGGGTGGGGTCTCAGGGTCAGGATGCTGTGACCTTGGGCCTTTCCTCTGGGAGTCTCAGGTTCCTTCTCTTTTAAAGCCTACAGCATAGCATTGCACTGTTCTTAGTCGTGTCTGACTCTGCAGCCCCATGGACTGTAGGCTCTTCTGTCCATGAGATTTCCCAGCAAGCATACTGGACTGGGTTCCCATTTCCTTCTCCAAGGTATCTTCCTGACCCAGGGATCAAACCAGCGTCTCTTACGTCACCTCTGTTGCAGGCAGTCTTTACCACTAGCGCCACCTGGGAAGCATGGTAGGCCTCAGTAAGGACGCTTGTCTTTCTTTTTCCTGGCTGTGATTACAACGAAGCATCCCAGCTGTCTCTGCTCCTCCCTAAACCCCATCCTGATGCATTTGATCTGTGTGCAGGCTGCATGGGTGGGCTCTTCAGGGAGCAGCCTTGGACTCTGGAGGCAAGTATTTCCTCAGCAAATCTGACTCTATAGCATTAGGGGCTGCAGAGACAGGTCTGGGGCCTACAGAGGTTGCGTGGTCCCCACTCTGCACCCCACCCCGACTCCACTGGGATAGAGCTGCAGCTCAGCTGCTGACCGAGACCCTTCGTGGCAGAGTTCTTCACAGGGAGCTTCTACAGTATCCCTTGAGCCTTGAGTGTTACCTGTACCTGGATGTCCATGGCCTGGAACTGTGCCCTCCAGCGCTGGAAGATACCCACCCTGGGATCCCTGGGCCAGTGGTCAAGAGCAGACTCCACTGCAGGATTTTAGGCACCCTGACCCCCACCTGCCACTCCCATCAGGGCCTCTCCCTGGAAGCCTTCTCATCTCTGCCCCGGCTGCTGCATTTTTTCTCAGCGTGTTCCTGAATTCCATGGGAGAGCTATGGAAAATTGGCCGAAGCAGCCTAAAGAAATATGTGGACAAGACTGGAGCAGGATAAAGTCTCAGGAGAGATCTCTGACCCACCATGATGATAAGGTTATCAGCAAACACGCGTCGACTGTTCCTTTCATGTTAGACATGGAGCTGCTGTCTGCTGTTCAGAGATACAGTCCAGCTGGGCAGTGACAGAAGTGCTATAAGACTGCACAGGAGGACACTGAAAAAGTTACAAGTGTTTGTAAATTAAAGGGAAAAAAAAGCCATGTGAGGCTGAGCTTGCTGGTTATTCCGTAGGCTTCGTCCCAAGACTGGATCCTCAGGAGACGTACCATCACCTCATTTATCTGGCATCCACTGTTTCTTGGAACACAGCTGAGGCCTGAAATAGCCAAAACAGAACTCTGAGACTCCCAGAGAGGTGGCATGAAGTCCCTGTGCTGAGGCGCGGGCCCTCAGTCCACTCCCAGAGGAGCCTGGCCGGCCTCTGCTGGGAACCTGCTCCTGGCGGCCGACTCTTGCATGTGATTCCTGCTTTCCTGCGGTGTCACAGACCGGTGAGGATATCCGGTCTCCAAAGGCAGGCGGTTAAGAGGGCTTGTGGCCAACAAGAGCCAGAAGAGGTAAAAAAACTAGACTCAAAAATTCAAGAGCTCTGGGACTTCCCTGGCGGTCCAGTAGTTAAGATTCCATGCTCCCACTAGAGCAGGCACAGGTTTGATCCCTGGTCGGGGAACTAAGATCCTGTATGCTATGTAGCATGTCCCCCACCAAAAAGAAAAAAAAAGATTCAAGAGCTTAGTGGGCCAGTGCCCAGCCACAAGAAGGATCAAAGTTCTTCTAGGAGGCGACGTGGGCTGCAGACAAGGTAGGCTGTGGGAGACAGGCCGGGAAGCTGTTGCAAGAAAGACAGTCATTCGAGGTCCTCCCTCCCTCCTGGCTGCTGGAGATCTACTGTTTCCTGGAATACAATAGATGATGTTTGCTTAAAAGTTCAGCTTTTCACAGCAATCCGCTAGATATGTGTCTCTCAAAACAGATAAGTAGGTCAGCCTGATTTGGATCTAGTATGGAAGAGATGACTTTGCTCCCCCATCTCATTTCACAAGAAGAAACAGAGCCACAGAAAGTCTTGTCTAGTGCCTGGGCCATGAGGAGCTAGTGATGCTTGTGGTGGATTCTAACTCTGAAGGTCAAGGGTCCAGTTGGCTAG